CCCCTGCGCCCCCCCCCCCCCCCCCCCCCCCCCCCCCCCCCCCCCCCCCCCCCCCCCCCCCCCCCCCCCCCCCCCCCCCCCCCCCCCCCCCCCCCCGCGTAAGTAATGAAAGAGAAGAAGAAAAGAGGGAATACAATACCAGAAAGCTTTTTGGGACACGGGTCACGGCATTTTTCTGTGCAACGTGGAAATCGCAGCCTCTTTGGTGAGCTACAAGGTAAAAGGTAAGACATCGGATGAGAGCGGGTATATACGGCATTGAAAAGGGAAAAGGGGGGGAAAAAGAGAAAAGGAAAGGAATTAGAGGGAAGTTTTCGTCCTAGGCAGTTTGCCTTTTTGTATTACGACACACACATACAGACACATACAGACAGACAGACAGAACAGACTCGCCCCAAATCCTTCCTCACACACGGCCCGGACACAACGCAACACAGCGTTCCCGTATCGACGTCCGGCGGGGGGGAGGTCTTGAGAAAGTTGTTGCAGGATAAGTAAAAGAAAAGTGGATTATCTTAGTCCTTGCCCGCCTTGACGTCTTACAGCCGTCGTTTCACATAGGTTAGACAAGTTCAGTTCTCGAAAAGTATGTATGTACTGTATGTATGATTTGTTCAGAAAGTCTACGAGGGGGTTCGGTAGGTAAGTCGGTGAGGCTACTTGGTAGAAAACACTAAATGTGGCCAATCTCATAGGATGGAAACACAAGATGCTTTCTTGTAATAATATACTTTTGGTTTGCGATAGCATAGCATAGTAGGTTTGGATAGGTTCTATAAAACTTATGTGATTCTTCATAAGTTAGAGTAGGCTGTCAGCGTCAACTGTACCTACTTGTTCAGTTCACCATATCATATACCCTGTATACCTTGGTTACGACGGAAGAAATGGGGGTATCTCTCACTAGCCATATGTAATATTTATGGACTCCTCCCGACGCGATCGATAATGGGACTGCCTTCCGGTAAACAGGAAAGTATAGCAACTCAAGTTACACCTAGTGCAAACATCTTTCTGCTCACTCTCCTAACCATTATATCACCCAGGTAGACTCGTGTCTGGCAAGGAACATTCTAACCAGATCAACAACACTACCTTGAAGTCATATTGACAAAGTTTACCACCCTTCCCTCGGTATGGGGCTACATCTTGCTAGGTATATGCTAGAATAGGACGATGATACTAAGAGGGCGAGGTCATGTCTGTAATAATAGTCTTGTACTTGGTATGGAAAAAACACACCCTTTCTACCGGTCACGCTCATGTCACGCTACAGGTGTAGGTTTGGCCAGATCATTTTTTTTTGTTCGACATGGGTATATTAGCCGCGGTTTGTGTCGTGTGTATCAAAGAACTGGTCAGCGATATGTAAATACCATACCAAAAACCCCCCCAAGGACAACACTTTCGGTGGTCCATGAGTAATATAAAGGCCGCGTTGAGTATATACTATGTCTAGAGATAGGTCGGAGCAATCACTTTCACATCACTTCATAGGGGGGCTTCTTTAAAAGGGCTGAAACTTAATACAGAAACGATACAAGACATAAATAGGTGTCAACCCCAGATATGGTTGCTATTGATCATCTTGCTCTTCGTAGCCCGTATCTGGAACTGTCATGTATCTCTAAACTCCATAGACAATGCAATACACCCCATCTCCTATGCCTGCCCCGACGCCCCCTTTCCAGAACGCCAATGAAATGCACAACCAAAAATCCTCCCCGACGATGTGATGAGCAATTAAGCCCTACCTATGCTATCTATACTCGCTGTCCACTTGGCGGAAGCCCACCCTCATCATCACCTCCCGCTCCTTTCCCTTTCCCCTTCTCCTCATCCTCCTTCTTTACCAGCAACCCATAAACACTCCTCTGCTTCTCAGCCGCAATCTTGTGATCCACAAACCTCGCCTCAGACAACCTCTTCCCCGCCCTAAGACTCTCGAGCACCCACTCGACACTAACATATTTCACCGCCGCCGCGCCCGAACCACACAATCTCGAAATCTCCCTCTGTAATTTCCCCCCGGCCAACCCGCCTCCGCTCCCGGGCCGTCCCAGCACGACGTGGGTGACTTTCCGCCTGCCCAGATGCGTAGACATGTATCCTCCGTTTTCGGCCAGCACGTGCTTGAGCCGATGGTCCGAGATGAGCGGGTGTGTGCTTCCATTTACGTATACGACTACGCCGTCGAAGATGCCTCTGGTTTTCTGTTGTTGTTGTTTTTTCTCTTCACCACCACCACCACCACTACTACTGCTTCTTCCTTCTTTGGAGATAGGGACAGGAACGGGGACAGGGTCCGGGTTCATACTCCCCGGCTTGGCGAGCATATCCAGAACCGAACATCTCGCCCGCGACCTCGCCTCGGACGTGATGATAACGCCGCCGCCGCTGGCCCGCTCGTCATATCCCTCTGCCCCCGCGCCCACCGAATCGGCTACGCGAGGACCACCGCTAGCGCCTCCCGCGAATTGACTTGCTAGTTTCTTGTTCCGCGAGTCGCGCCATCCCGTGCTGCCGCCGAGACGGTTCTCTGCTCGTTGGTGGCCGGTTGATGAGGAGTTGTATGCGTCGAATGTTTGGCCGTATCTTGGCTCGGCGGCTTTGGGGATAGATGATGATGATGATGATGGCATGGTCCGTGTTTTTGTTTTTGTTTTGTTTGATATTCGCTGGAGAAAGAAAAAAAAAATTGGACCAAGGCTTGACTTGACTTGACTTGACTGTCACTGACCAAACACTGGCAGCAAGCAGATCCGTAAAGGGCGTTGATTGAAAAATAGTATGGTGAGATTAAGTAATGGAAAAAAGGGTAGATATGCTTTCTCTCATGGTTGATTATGATTAATACCCCAGGATCCTAATAAATAATTAGGTAGGGGATGAAAAGAAGTACCCTATATGCTGAATGACTTGATTGTGACAGCAACAGTTGTTTTTATCCCGGATTGTTTTTTTTTTTCACTGTCTTAGTCTGATTTCAACATCTTTGAATTCATTACCAACCCGTCTCATTGATCTAGGTCAGGAGAATCGACAAGAATGACATTGTTCGTTGTTTAACAGCCTTTGTTTGAAATAGCTCGGGTTACCAGGCAACAGATGTTGGTCAACACATAATCTCCATTGTAACAAAATAGTGTTTTCAGGCTAGCAGTCACGTGACTTGAGTCCATCCACTCAGTCACTCACTCACTCATAATGAGAAGGTGCAATTTCAAGACAACAAAGCTGTGATGAATATATTGTAAACATTCATTTAGACTAGAAGTTTAAAATAAACTAAAAATAGTAGTAGCTGTGAGCGTTGATTATGAAATCCATATGTCCAGCGTATGTTTAAGTTGGCTTCAATATTCTTGCTACCTCATTCACACTTGCACTACAGAGCTACGCGCGACTTTGAGACATAACTTAATCACACGCCACGAAAATCTTTATGCATGACTTACATACAAGTATATCATGGCCAGAAAAATGTGCACAATCGGCTCATAACTTTGCAATAAAAGCAGAATAAATGATTAGGACGGGGGTCTTCACTCCTCTCTTCCCGCTATCTATCTACCTTACCTATGCACCAAATGTCCATAAGAAGGTGAGAAAATCAAGGTACTCGTAGACAGATACGGTAGATACCTATATTCAAGATAGGCCATGAAAAAACACACAGACAAGCGGCTATAGGGTAGGTATATTGGGCGCGCGCACCGCGGGCTGCATTCCTTCCTTCCTTCCTTCATGGACCGGGGTGTGTGATTCATGGATGGCTATCGTATATGGGACCCAGGGAGGGAGGGGATAGGTAGAGACTTTACGAGTAGAGTCGTAGCGGTGGCGGCAACTTGATGGGCTGAAATAACCTAACCTAACCTAGGGTAGCAATACAGTGATGGGTTATTATCAAGTATTATTTTGTCTGTTTTTACGCTCAGCGAGGAATTCTCCCCATCAAAAGATAATGTAAAAGAAAAAGTGGGAATTGACCGACCGACCAACCAACCCAAACCCCGGTGATCACTCTCACCAACCAACCCCCCCTCCCGGGGGATGAAATGGATTCCGCTGGCGCAATCAGCCCTCTCGAAAATGTGCCCTTTCTTTCCCTTGCTACGAGTAGGC